GTTATAGAAAGGCAGCAAATTCTTCTCAATTATTTTAAGACCCCGAGTGTTGGTCCGGCCAGGGCTCAAACCCTCGACCTCCCGCACAACAGTCCAGCGCTCTATCCATTGAGCTAACCGGGAGGCGGTTACCTCATTAAGTCTGTACTTGAGATTATTGGCCCACCCAGCCAGAACTTATCCTGGATTTCATAGCATGAATTGACTAGGAGTATCACTCTTCCCCCTTGGATATGGGACACTAATCCATTGCAAGGTAAACCCCCCAGAAATTCATCAGGCTTCTCTGACAATTTGCCACTACCCATTTAAACTCCTACATTGTTGGTGTAGAGAGGCACTGTGAGAGTAAAGTGTTCTGCCCAAGAACACAACACATTGACCTGACCAGGTCTCAGACTTGGACCTCTGGACCTGGAGTCCATTGCACTGACCATTAGGCCACTCTTCTCCCACTAAAAGTAATGAGCTGAAACATTTTTTCTGTTCTTGTCAAACATTTTCTGGACAAGGTTTTGATATTGAAAGGAGTTTAAAAGTTTAAAAGTTTATCAGTTTGATTATTAGGTTATAACATGATTTCTTGTGCAATTTGGTGTTAATTAGCATGAGTAAATTTTTGACAAACTTGCACGAGCTCATAGAGTGAGTGCAATTTGTAGTCTTTAAAAAATTTAAAACTGGTTATTACACCAAATTGCATGAGAAATCATGTTGTTTTTCATTAATGGTTTACATGAAAAAAGTGGTGAGTCAAGACAGACCAAATTTTGACAGTGCACTTTCTTTTTGTAATTTGCACTCGTGTTACATGAAAAGTGCACTTGTTTTTAACCAATCAGTTGCGCTCATTTTTCATCTATATTATTATGAGTGTTATATGGTTATACAACTTCTTTATATGATAAAAATGGAACAATGCAATCTGTTGAAAAGGCACATGAAAAACAACTAACCTTACTTCAGCTCTGATTTCCTTGGAGGTATGAAAGTTTTATTTTTTGAATTCTTATAAAATGTTTGATCACCAAAATGATCACTCAACAGTCCCAATTAAATACCTTGCAAAGGGAGAATTGTGATACCAAAATCATCTAGCAGTGCCAAGGCAGCAATCAAATCAAACTCTTCCTGCAGGGCTGCTGAGCGATCCTCAATAAGATTCAAACAGTCCCTTGCAAGATCCATGGCCTTGTCAGTCAGATCAGCTGAGGAGTTAAAATACTCTTTTGAAGCTTCTAAAACAAGCTCTATGCCTCTGGAACACTTGATACGTGGACCAGTAACAGGGTTAGTTGGCTCTGGGTAGTCATCCTCCATAGCTGTCTTACAGATCATCTGCCCTGCAAGCTGGATACACTCTTGTCTGCCAGAATGCAATAGTGTCTCTGTGTAGATCTTACAGATTTAAATAGTTGTGGCTTAAAATCATATTATTAGGGTCTGATTACAATCACTTCAAAAAGTAAAACTTTTTAACATCATCAATTTAAACCCCAAAAACCATAATTATTTTAGGACTGATTAAAAAATCAAATAATGTTAAAACAGAAACATTACATTACACTGATAGAACAAGAATAATATGGTGAATTTTAAGCTTGCTAAAGAAATAGCAAAAGATGTTTTTTCATATTGTCACAAGTATGGGAAAAAGAAAAAATTCCAAGTGTCCCTGAAGAATCAAACCTCAAAGCTTTGGATTCCCTGCTCCAATGCTCTATCATAAGCCACAGAGACTTTATGGTGAGCAAGGTTATTATTACTTTCATACATGGCATGTGTTTTGTATATATACTGCTAGGATCAGCCATGTCAATAACATCAAGTTTGTAAATGGAGTTCATTACACTGTTTAGCTGTTATCAATAACACCATCCACACCCACCAATTAGAAAAATATCAATTGCTCAATTGAAAGAGTGCTGCACATAATGTCTTATAAAGTTGCTAAAAACACTCTGACTTTTAAAATTAGAAAGAACTAACGGTATCTCTGAGATACGAATATAAGAAGCCAAAGACAAAAAAAATTAGAAATAACCCTACAAACTATTGGCAGACACAAATTATAATACTCTAAGCAGCATTTAAAAAGCATGTTCTACTATAAGTAGCCTAGTAAGCAGCCTGATTTCTAGTAGTGTTTAGCTCCACGTATAAAAAATTTCCTAACCTCATAACACACAGATGGCTCAATGCAAGTGTAAACTTCTTTTTGAAGGGTCAACATGTCACCAAGGAGTCCAATCCACTGAGCTTCCTTTAATGGTGGACTCCTGTGAAACAATTACAGTCTTAAATTGCAGGCTTCAGTTAAAAAAATACCTGGAACACATTTTTCTGGGCTCTATAATGCGATAGAGCCATGTGGAATGAGAACATGAGGACAGCTTTTAAATCACAAGCCAAAGGCAGTGACTTAAATGCTTTCTGAATGTTCTCCCAACACCCCAAGTGGCTTTGTCACATTATAGAGCCTGAAGAAAATAAGTTCTATTGCTTTTATGACAACTAGTTATATAAACCGTTATAACCCACCCATTAATTTTGGCACGGTTTTATTGGTTACTTTACGTCATGTGGTGCAAAATCACAGGACAGTTATCACGCAATAACCCCCCATCCATGTCAATATTTGTCCTCTGATTTTTTCAGTGAAAAAGAAACATAATCAACACAAGAGTTTCAACTTTTCTGTTCTCCTATTTACATGGAAGGAAACCAAACTGGTTTTTTTTTTTTGCTTGCCATCAGATCATCACTGGCTTTTTTACTGTGTTTAAGTGCAGTTTAAATGCGATGTGAAAATTAATGGGAGGGTTATAAAATAAATAAACCCCATTCTGGCTTGCTGGTATGTCAGCTGATAATGTCCTTGGCTGAGAGATTGTCCTAAAAATTTCATATTTTCCCTCAAAGCTTCGCTTCTAGGCCAACATACCAGCCGCCCAAAGGAACTTATTTACTAAATAACACATCTGCATGAAAACTAAATTGACAAATCAGACAATACCTACTAAGTTATTATTAGTAATCATTACATAATTATTATGTTATAATTATAATGTCTAGTAAATGGTGAGGTAAACTGTGTACTCAAGCCAATTGGCCCAACCAGCCATTGCTTATCCCAACTTCCAAGCAGCATTAAACAACTAGGAGTATTACAACCTCTACTCCCCCCTGGATGGGATGCTGGTGCACTGCAAGGTTACCCCCTTGAATTTCATCAGGCTTCCCTGAAAATTCACCAGTACCCATTCCTACTCCTTGGGTGTAGATAGGCACTGTGAGAGTAAATTGTTTTGCCCAAGACATTGAGCAACCTGCACCTCTTGAACCAGAGTCCATTGCACTGACCATTAGGCCACTTGACCTCCCAACTAATGACAGCATCAAACACTTTTTGCAACAAATCTAATATACTATTCCTTTAGTAGAACTTTAAAAGGGACGTTCATATAGGAAGACTGTAGTTTATTTGTCAGCTATCTGTCTGGTGTCTTTTGAAAGCCTGTGGCAAGACGCATTTAATTACAGGGCATGAGTAAAATGGAGGTAATGCTTGTAAGCCACAGCTTAAAAATGGAAAAAAAAGTCAGTCTTCAACTTACTGTTTGGCTGCAGCCTCTGTTATGTTTACCATTAGAGATGTGGTTTCTTCTGAGTTATTCTAACCAACAAAAACAAAGAAAACAAATGAACCAAACAAACAAAAAAGAGGAAGGAACAACTGCAGCAGCCGCAGCAGCAGAAGAAGAAAAAGATAACTACAACAAAGACTCGCAATAGTTTTTGTGAATTATCAATCAAAACAATCAAAAGGTGGCTAACTATCTCAATCATGATATTCAAGGTACATATGGCTCATGCAAGTCACATTAAATTTTGGGCAAATTTTAATCAAAATAGTGAATACTGTAATTATGAACTAATCATAAAACACTTTTCATTAAACAGTTTCTTGATATTTTGCCAAGCCTGTCAACTGTTATTGTTACTTGTATGAATAAGAAAACAGAAAGTTTCACATCTCTTACATGGGTGTCAAGGACAAATGACACTGGCTTTTCAAGACCATGTTTGGCTAGAGTCTCAGTGGCACTACAAGACAAAATCAATTATAACTTCAGTTCTGTTTATCACAAAAATTGATTTCCAGGTCAACATGCATGGGCAAAGTTGGAAATATAAAATCTATTAATTAAAAGTAGTAAAGCTTACCACAAGTGCACCTCCAGTTGATCAACTTTTTTGTTTAATTCACGGATCTGATCTGAAAGAACACTGTAAAACAGGCACTAACAATTACCTACACATACACCAGTAAACAGATTAGTCACTTAGCCAAACATGACTGATGTTTTAAAAACTGGACTGAAAAAGCAGCAAACTGCATTGAAGATGTAAAAGTTAAACCCTTGAAGTATAAATGAGTAGATATGATTAACTTTTAGAAGCCAATTTTCATTCCTGAGTTAAAAATCTACATTCAACATAAAACATACATGCCAAATATACGTCTTCCAGCATTAGTGTTCCTAATTGCGTTTACTGAAATGGCCTATTTACATGCACATCAAGGGCTTTGAAATAGCAGAATTTTTGCTCAAAACAAGGCTAACAGAGCTAATTTACATCTTAACTAGAGAGGAAAAACATTATTTAAGGCCAGTTTTAATGAAAGAGGTAAAAGGAATGTAGCAAAGTTAAAAAGCAGAAAGTCATTTTGTGATGGGACTTACTCCTCACTGCTGCTTGGAAGACATTCCAGAATACTGAAGGCCAAACTCAGCTGATCAAACCTGTAAACAAAACCATAATCTTAAAGCATGACTGGAAAAAGCAAAAAAAAAAAAAAAAGTCTGAAAAAGCTGACAAACTGTTGCAAATTGCAACAGCCTTAATAATATAAGGATGTCTCTGAGCAGTGATTGACTGTAGATTTTGCAAGCTGAAAAATTAAAGAGATTATGAATGCATTCTCCTGGATCCTCTCATGCAACCTTGTACCTTTTACATTCTTTCTTGTTAGTGCAAAAGGTTTGTGTTTGCACACTGAAAGTATTTGATAATGACACACTGTTCAGCTTAACCAAAATGCCTTTGACAAATTTCCATTTAAGCTTTGCTGTGTGTATTCCTTCCCATTACACCTGAACGATAAACAGCAAGCTTGGCTGTCCAATAAGTGGCAATGTGCAACAAATAACTGTCACCAGGTTCTGATGTACAGTGCAACACGATGAAGTTTAAGAAAAGAAGATATCATCTGAATTCAAGCTGCTTTCTCTTAAATGCCAGAATTATTATTCCTGAAATCCCTCCAGCTATAATTATAAAAAAATTTACTTGTAAACCTTTTTGTGATATAAATGCAAACCAGTGCAAGTTTCATCTGTTCGGCTACATCTGCTATGATAGGTTCTTTGATCTACAAGCCAAAAAAACAAAAACACTCTGGTACAAAAATACAGCATCAGACGGAAATAGTCATTAGTGGTACATGTTTGAACTTCAGTCCAACAGTTATGGAGGAGAGCTTCAATCATGCAAGGCACCAATTTTTTCCTCACATTAGGGCATGATATTTTAATAGTCTACTCATGAGTTGGTGTCAAAAATCTATGTAAAAAAAAAAAAGTGGTGTAAAATCATTCAAATTGAGAAAAGGAATACACAAAAATCAGCCCTCTCCTTGGCCAATACCTGAAAAAAAGCCCAGGAAAAGGGAGGGGGGGGGGGCAAAAAAGATAGCTGAAACTTCAGACTACACCTGTAAGGTGTCGAGCATATCTTAATACCCATGCTGAACAAGTTACCTGCTCATTGCAGATGGCCACAGAAATAACCACAATCTTCGCAGAATGGTCCCTAAACCTACCTCTGGAGTGGAATTCTGGAAGATTTTGAGCACATAGGTCAGGTCAGTCTGCAAAACAAAAGTGAAATAAATAAAAGTGGTAGTAGTTACTTTTAATTAGTAGCATTTAGTAGTAGCAGTAAGGTCAGTGGTACCTGTAGTAGTAACCGTAGTTGAGCAAGGAGTTGGTTTTATATGAAAATACTCTTCTCTCCAAATACTACGCAGTGGTACATGCTTGATGCAAAATCAACAAATTACCCACAGGTAAACGGCTGGAAATAACAGCAGCAATGACTTACAGTGACTTAACCGGTATGTGCATTCATTCTTACATTACCTGTAAGTGCCCTTGGGATCCAAACAGTCAAAATTTCTCATACGTGTTCAATCATTATTTTTCATTTCAAGCCAATTCTAAGTTTGAGTAGAGATAACCAAAAAAAAACAAGCAAATCATTTTTTAAACAAATTTAAAGGTTGAGCCAGGTGGCCAATAGTGCACAAACTTATCCAAATTTCCACAGCATTCAAAAAGTAGGAGAATCATTTCCTTCCTGAATGGAATGCTGGTCCATTGTGGGGTTATCTCTAGTATAAGTTTAGGTCTCCCTGAGAGTTGATCAGGACTCATTTCCATTCCTGAGTGGAAAGAGGAACTGTGACAGGAAATTGTCTTTCCAAAGCACAATGATCCAACCTAGAATCCATTTTAGACCTCTCAATTCAGAGTCCCATGCACAAACCGCAAGGCCACATCATCTACTAAAGAAACTAATCCACTTATTGTCACCACATACTAACCTTGGCAATGTCTGTTAAATAGTGATGGATCAGATTCACTTGAGATTTCTTTTTGCGTCTTCTTAGACGTTGCAAAAACGGAAGGACCCAGCTCTTGAAGTCAACAATGAATGATTCCTCTGTAGACTTGAAAATCAAGAGGAAGACAGACAATAATTGTTAATTAGCACTGAAAATGGACCACCGTCAACTAATACCAAAAGTAAAAAGATCAATTAAGATCTTGTTTTAAGTTGCAAATATCATACAGACCAAAGCCAACGATTCACAGAGTTTTGCCACTTGAGCAAAAAATTGAGAAATCCTGTCACTATGTACTGTATATTTCATGAATTTCTTGGTGAAAACCCATGAATACTGTAAAATGAAAATTCATGGGGTTATTTCAAGCCCTGAATTTTCCATGAATTAGGGGCATTTTTTTATGACCCATGAATTTCTTTGAAGTCTACTTTCATGACCTATTATGGTACCAAGAAATTTCACAGAAAGGTTAGTTCATTGATGTGTGATTAAGTGATAGTATATTAATTACAGTTATGGTATATTGTAAGCATATATTTATAGAGCTATACACTGTAGAATTACATTAGTGAGTAAAATCTCACATTCTGATTGGTTAACAAAGCGAGGTATTTAGTGTAGAATTGCAAGCTGAAAATGAGGCTCAGTGATATTGTTTCCCATCTATGCAAAAATAACAACTATAAGTAAAGCTGTTTTCTTTTTTTTTCTTGTTTTCATTCAATTGTGTGATTCAAGGAAAATCCATTACTTGACTCATGAATTCTGCATTAAATTGCACTTGAAAACCAATATCGCACTCATCACTTTGCAATGTATGCAATATTGGTTTTCACATGCAATTTAATGCAGAATTCCCCTATGAAGTAATGAATTTTCCTATAGTATAGTCTTTGGTACAAATGGAGTGAAGATTTTTTCTTTCCAAATTTCATGGGGTTTCCAATTTTTATGGTGCTTGAATGTATATTTCTAACAACCCCATGAAAACTAACTGGCAATTAACTTTCATGTGCCATGAAAATGCTATGGAGAGGCCATGAAAATTAAGGTTTTCAATTTTCATGGTGCTTGCATATTTCTAACAACCCCATGGATGAAAACTTACTGGCAATTAACATTCATGTGCCATGAGAATGCTATGGAGAGGCCATGAAAATAAAAGAAAATTTTCATGGTCAATGAATTTTTCACATCTTCACAGGATATTAATTTTGTGGGTCATGATTTGCTGCAACCCATAAAAAAACTTATAGTGAATTTTAATACCATGAATTTTTTTTTGACATGAAATTCATGGGGTATTCAGTACCTTTGAGAAGATCATGAAATGCCATTTTCGTGGGTATTTCATGGCATCTAGGTCACCTTACACAATATTTCATGGGTTGGGAATATTAAAATATTCACAAGTTTTTCCATTGGATTTTTTATGGCAATGAGACCATGAAAATAACATTGATCTAAAGATGAAAATCCTGTGAAAAATCTGTGAATTTACCATGAATAATTTGACAAGATTTTCATGGAGTTTGATTTCATGTGTCTGACTCAGTGGGTGACTGACTGACTAACTGATTCACAAAAATGACTCGTTAAATCACTAGCTGCCTTGCTGATTTGTTCATTGACTGACTACCTGACTGACTGCCACATTGAAGGACTTGCTGACTTGCTTACTGATTCACAGACCAACTTCCTGAATGTCCTACAGACCGACTTGTTACCTGTCCCACAGATGAACCTACTTACTGACTTGCTGGCTGACTTACTGCCTGCCTTATTGGTTGACTCACTGACTCACTGGCCCACTGACTCTTTGACTCACTGACTTACTGACTCGCTGACTCACTGCCTAACCAATAGCCTGACTGACTCATGGACTCACTGCCTGGCTCAAAACAGCATGTACCTTCTTCAACAGCATCCTCAGCTTTTCCAGTTCATTCATGCTTTGAAAACTCTCCAAATTGAGATACACATCTGCACAACTCTGCAATAAAAAAATATAAGAAATAATTATGAATAAAGGCTGATAGTTTCGAAAGAAACTGTTTGGGGCTGCATCGGTGGGAGTAACGAAATAATTTGGATATATCAACAAAGTTGAAATGGTAAATTGGCCACCGTAACGATTACAAAAGCTGACGTTTTGAGCGTTAGCCCTTCGCTCCGACGAAGGGCTCCGACGAAGGGCTAACACTCGAAACGTCAGCTTTTGTAATCGTTACGGTGGCCAATTTACCATTTCAACCTTGTTGATATATCCAAATTAAGAAGTAATTAATTTTTCTTCTGGGCAATGATTGCCTTTTCAGAATAATCTTCAATATTCAAGCGATGTATGTTGATTTACTAGTCATACACCAGAAACATTAACTCAAATTTGACAAAAAAATAGAGCACAAAATATGTAGAACAGAGTACAAATTAATTACAACTCCTAAGTATGTGGTAATACGCATGGAGTGACATGCCTTTGCTCTACCTCATATATCAGCACTTCAAGTGTAACAAGATCATCCTGAAGATCTTCAAGCCCCTACAGAGACAGTTACAGAAAACATTAATTCACCAGAATTAAATTGTGTTGTTTTAATTCATAGTAAAAGTAAAAACAAGCATTACAAGTCAAAGGACACAACTAGCTGGTCTAACTTTAAGGTTACCATGATTTGGTAAAATGAAGAGAGTAGGAGCATTCCTACAACAAGTTCCTTCATTGATTGATCTATCATGGGTCATACCCCCCTCAGGTGATTTTTGTCTGGTTTCTTTGACCAGTTATTGGTACCCATCTACATTCTGTGTCAACCCTTAAACTCCAAGGATCCAATTAACATTTCTCCCTTCTAATTTCCTTCCATTTCCTTCCAGGGTGGTATGGTGTTAACCACCTAATCTACAGAGATAACAGAGATAATATTATAACACAACCAAAGCAAAGTGCACACTCTGATTGGTCAATTCAGCGTCTGCCATTTGCCCATGGGTGTACGCTGCTGACGTGAGCAAATGTGAAGACCATTTTTCCGCACGTGCTTGTTTTTTTTTTTTGGTCACGTAAGATTTTTTACATAAAAGGGAACTCTTTTGCTACAATGTGTCAATGTTATGTTATAAAATAAATGGTAAACACCACAGCATACACTATTGAGTTATGGATGCACTTGGGAGGTTTGCTAAGCACTCAAGAAGCTAGAGTCGCTCTTGGCTATTGCCTTGTGCGACTCTTACACTTCTTTCGTGCTTAGCAACCTCCCATGTGCATCCATAACTCAATAGTGTAAGCTGTGTTGTTTACCATTTGTTAAATAATGTACAAAGTACAAAGTGGCATTGTGTCTGCCAACCTTGATTCTTCTTTCCATTCCAAGCTTTATTAGTTGCAAAGAGTTCTCTACCTGTCCAGAAAACATCAATGATAAAGGCATGAATTCAATTTTCTTTGAACTCCCCAATGATTCTTGGTGTTAAATTCCACCAACTTCCCCATTCCATTTATAATTATAATAATACATTAATGGTTAATAAATCTAGTTTTCAATAAGCTTCTCCTGACAGTGTTTACAAAATATTGTACCTGATCAAGAATAATCACCACAATATTCCAGATCATGTTCTAAAGAGCAACTAGCCTGGTTACTCCAGGGCTCAGTTGTTCAAAGGGTGTATAGTGCAGTCCAACCAACACACAACAACACACCCTTCAAACAACCAAGGCCTGTTGTTTTTCAACAATGGTACTCTAATGTTTCTTTGTTGATCCTGCCTTTGTCACTTAGCTCTATGTTATGACTTGAAAATTTACCCTTGGCATGCAACAGTGGAAAAGCATCCACTTGAGGTTTTTTTCATTCAAGGAAGCATGCACTCCAGAGAACTTTTGTTCTCTGGTTTGCACTTTATATTAAAAAAATAACCTGTGCAAAAAGTGTCCTCTGGTAGAAGTTATTCCTTGAAAATAAAATGCAGTAGTTAATGACAAAAAAGTTGAGGGGGTGCTTTTGGCCCAAGCCTTTCAATCTTCTACATGTACTGTTAATAGTATAATTACAGCAGACCAGCTGCATGTATACTGTGTACCTGCTGGGAGCGATGTTCTATCTCACAAGCTCTATTTCTGTACCACTGAGTCACGACATCAGAAGTAAGTTTACACCTTAAACAGTTTGCAAAAGGAATTTTCAATTAGCTTTGAAAATTATCTGAGATTTCATTACCTTTAGGACATAAGAAATTGCCTTTGGGTGGAAAGAAACCAGGAAGACTGGGAAGCTGGAGTAGACCAAAAGAAAATCAAGACTTCTTATAAAGAAGCAGATGACACTAGTAACAGATAAACAGCTTGAAAAATTCAGGCTGAATTTTCCTAAGATGCGCAAGTCATAGAGTAGCTTTGTTAAATGATCTGGTCAAAACTTAAACATTTAGACACAGCAGATAATAAGGCAAACCACAAACACACCCACCTATACAGTTGCAAATCAGGGTTTTCAAGGTAAATAAATTCAGTGGAGTTGTCACTGTGGTCCCAACCAAAGATTTTTTTGCACTTTACATTCTCTACCCAATCTACATCTCTCCAAGACTTTTCATCCCATTCCAAAATTTCTGGATCCTCTGCTGGGAAACTACACAAAAACATTGCACTTTTAAAAACCAGAAAAGCTGTCCCTGTTTGGGAGGGGAACCTATGCTGCTCCTCAAGTGGGTGCAAACATTCCAAACAAAAGTTAGCCCAAATGAATGCATTAGAAAGTTTCTTTCATTAGATTAGGGCATATTCACAACTTTGCAGCATCTTGGTGTAAACTCTATCAGGTGAATGTAAGACTCTTTCCTTAACATCAAGCTAAAAAAGATCATCAGAGATGCTACACTGTAAGTCATACAAACTACCATTAAGTTTATTAACCCAAGATGTGAATGTCAATTCTTCCCTGCCCCTGCACATTTCGTTGTAAATTGTTACAAGGATTTGGTGTTGGATCAAGATAACAACTTTCACCTGACAAGTTTGAGTATTCTCAATTGCTGTTTGCTAGATAATGTATGATTATTAGAGGGACACATTATATGAATTATGTTTATCACTGTCTTCTGGAAGTTAAAGGGTTAAAGCTGGTCCTGTTCTCTGTAATGAGAGGCAACAACAATGTTGATGATGATGACAGATATACACAATATTCATCTTTCAAGAGTACTCACCCTGCTTCTGGAAGAAGAGTGCTGTACTCAAATGGAGGAATTGTCTCATCAAAGTTAGAAAGAATAGCAAGCCTGTGGGGAATTGTCTCTTTGCCATGATAAGTGAAGATAACATCTAATGCTTCCCAATTTCCCTCCTACAGTAATAGAAAAATCACAAAGACTGTTACAATTCAGCAGTCACAATGGCAGAGCTTCAAATACTGTAAAAGTATTTCTAACACTTTGAAACTGACTGCTTAAAAACATTATCAATGAACATCAGAGTACATAATTGAAGGCACATTATACAAACAATACCCATAAACTACTAAGCAAACAAAATTGTTATTGGATGAGCTCAAGCCAGGCTGTTGACTACTTTCCAAGCAGTTATTCCCTGACCTTCCCCAAAAGAAAGTACACAACATTGTTGTGCTGTTCTGTTAATGATGAACATCTTTGCTATGGGGGTGGGAAAGGGAAAAAGTGAGGAAATGGCAATATTCAAGTTGAATTTAGTGTTTCCATACTTTTTCCTTTCCTTCAACATACCCTGGCATACTCCACAGCAGCTTGCAAAATGTTCAACTCTCTAAATCTCTCAAAGAAAGTGTGGCAATATTCCTCATGAGCCATATGAACTCCTCCCAAAATAACCTCATAAGTTGAAAGGCGGTCAAGGTATTGAAGAAGCTTCAGGCGATACATGCAGATGCCTCTTTGTTCCAGGTTGAAACTGATTTATGTATATAATTATAAAAAAAAAAAATTGCAAAGTGTCACACACTGAAAGAATAATTTTAATTGATGTCCACATTGTTGTGGTAAACATCAAATCAACAGAGGTTTAGTATGGTCTGTACTCTTGTCTACAGTGGTTAAGTGTGGTCTGTACTCTTATTAACAACAATTTTCATCATCACAGTGGTAAAATATTTGCTCAAACACTGTCAATTATGTTAAGTATACAATGGATATGTTTAAAGGAAGAGGTACATGGGTGTCAGAAATTTACGAATTCAAAGCGGTTGACTTAAAAGCTATCAGGATTTAAGGCCTATAACCTTCTCCTTTAATAAGTACAATTCATGAAGCATTTCACCCCCTTTATGTTGTATACCTTTCAAATTCAAGAAACTCTTCAACCTCCTTCAGTTTCTTTTCCTTTTTCTCATTATTGTCTTCACCTTCTTCATCCTTCTTTGTTTTTATTATAAATGGCAGAGGACCCATTTCACCACCCAAAGCTTTCACCACCTTAACATCTGTTCCATGAAGACCATACAGCAGCAACTGCTTTGCTGCCTCATATGTTTCTGGGACTCTCACCACACACTCATTAAGAACCCACAAACGATTCTTCACTTTACTCTACAAGGAACACAAAATATTTTGAGTCACCAGATGGTCTGTTGAAATTGAAAATGGTTTCCACAGCCATTTCTAATAAAATTTCAAAAACTAATATTATCTCAGCTTCCATGGCATGATAATGTTCTCTACATGAACTTGACCATTCTTATGATTATTTTGTGATATCTTTTTCCTAGTAATAAACGGATAGCATGAACAAATAGGGAGGAAATTAAGATGGCAACAACTTAAAAAGCAAGGCCTTGGATGGAATCCATCCAGCTAAAAGAAGTTTGGTGGTCATGGAAACACCTTGCACTGCTATTGGGAAGAGAAAATGAAAAATTATCCTTGCACTCCTTGATTTGAAAGGGAAGACTGGAAAATGGCAGAGTTGACAAGGGGCTTAGGCTTATCATAGTTCTGCATGGCCTGTTCTTGCATCACCCACCAAATAATCATGAATTGAAGCTACTGAGACAGGGGATTTCCTCCATTGCTTCTGATAAACCAAGTCACTGTCAAGTCCATAAGTTTGTGCAAGAACAAGAGCTTCACCATACTCCTCAAGCTCAATCTGAAATCAACAAAAGAAATCTGAGAATTAATTAAAAGCTAAGCCTGCAAGAACCTTCCAAACATTTCAAATCAAAAAATAATATCTTCTTACTAACTGAGCACCAGGGCTTTTGAATACTAGTTGAGGTCCTGGCAGTACAGACCAAGTATGAGTGAGCACGGTTCATACAAAACTACTGTCAGGGCCGGTAAGGATCCAGCAAGTGAGGTTATTAAGTATTTTTATTTCATGGCAGTCAGACCAAATTTATTTATTTTGAATTTCCTAGTGTTCTATCAATCACCTTCCTGGCATATAGTTCCTCTGGTGTTGTTGACCTTAAACACACAAGTCGATATGTCCTCTGAAGCACTCTAAAAAAAAAATTGTGAAAATTAAGAGCCCATGACTGTAAATATCGAGAATTGCTGGCCAGGCTGAAAAAATCGAAAATTCTGATAATATGCCTGGAAAACCCTTTTAGGGAGATATATTAGAAAAAAATATTTCAAAGTTTCAAAAATCAAATGTTTCTGAGAAAATGGGGAAAAACGAACATTCGGGCTTTTGCCCAATTAATTATGCAAAAAAATACAGTAAAATTTAGCAACTTTAATGTGCTAGTACTGAAGGAGGATGTTTCGTAAGAAATCGGGGATGTTTTTACTTGAAAATATAATTCATTTGATTTTTATTTATAGCACTTTTAGGAGCTTTGGTTTAATTTTAAAATTTACATGATTTTTCAAAAAAGTACTCTAAAACACTTGTTGCAAAAAGCGCAAATTCGAGCAACTTCAAGCCTTCAAAACGCATCTTGGTACGCAAGCAATCATGTCAAACTGCATGCTAGCACAAAGTTTGGTTCTTACACTAAAAGTATATGAAATAAAAAATTTGGGTAACTCAGAAAAGTGACTGCAAAATAAAGGAGTTTGCAACGCACTGTGGCCAAGGTCATGAATTTGCATGATGCAAATCAGTTCTAGAAATCGTACTTGAGAGCTACCAAGTAAACAAGGTAGTTAAAGATGGTTAAAAAAATTCTTTGATATGGAAATGATATGAAATTATACAAAAAAAAAATCCATAGACATTGCTGAAGAGGGCTGTAAATTGATGTGTAGATACGAAATTTTCTGTTAATTTGAATTGCAGAAGACTTTGTTATTGTTGACTTGCTATTTCAACAGCACTACCTACACCTAACTATAGATAAGGGTCGCTGTATAGTTCACAATTTTTGTTGACTAGGTGTTTATTATCGACATTATTCTTAGTTGAATAGCTACATTTTCTGCAACTGCGATAATATTACTTTTGAAATATCTTGGATATCTTGAAAAATGTTGTGTGAGTAAACAAAGTCACGCAACACCGCAAGCTTCTGCTGTGTAGTTTTTCACCTCAAGATAACAGCCCAACTATTTTTTATGCTATTTACTCTCATCTTTTTCAGAAAAAATGGCCACATTTCTGTCATAAAACTTGATGAAAAGGACTTATGTCACGGTAACAATTATACCATGTTGCAGTCTGGGCGATAATTCTCTATGATGTAATCACAGTCTTTTTCTTAAAGTAAACACGTGCAAGGTTTTTAATAGAGCATAAAAAGAAAACGATGTCATTCTGTAGCTTTGGTTCTCTTCTAGGGGGGGGGAGGGGGGCTTTTGGTGTAAGTTCTGGTACTCGTGTAGTGATGTTAGACAGTCCTGGGGAACGCGAAACTGTTCCCCCACGTAACAGAAGATTAATGACATCAGTAAACTGAACAACTTCAGATTTTATCCCGTTGGAATGAGGGTGTGGCAGACATTTGATGGGGGCCCCGGCAAATGCATCTCCTTGGAAGTAACAAATGGTAAACATTACGTTACATTCTCAATCCAGTTTCTAGCTATAATGCAGCATGATCTCTCTTTAGTTTGAGACTGAAAAATTCAGCGAGGGAAAGCTTGAAATCAAGATCACTTGAAAACATCAAACCTGGCACCAGTTTTTGTTATAAAAATATATTTCAAGTTTTTTTTATTTTGAACGCTATACTGGAAATAGAAACTTTTACTTCATTTAGGCAGCAGTGCACAAGCTGTACCTGACGCTATTTTTGCTGTGTGAAATGCACCAAATCATGATCTCACTCTGGATAATGTTTAGGTGTGTTTGATTTTGTCGTTAATCTTTCGTGTTATTATTTTCCACAGAACACCGTCACCAAAATATTCCCTCGGAGAATTTAAAGAGATCGCTCCAAAGAGAAAACTTAAAGAGCCTACTAAAACTTACACAATGGATCCGCTGAAGAAGAGGACTATAGCTGTGCCGCGAAAGGCGATGATCAAGTGCCATGCCCAAAAGAGGGCAGCAGGCATAGTTTCCAAAGGCACTCTTCTCTGGAAAAGCATCTCACGTTCGGAACATGCACAAACTGAGATGTTTGAAAGGGCGACACTTCTCGATAAAGCGAAGGTTAAATATGCCACAAGGCTCGAGGAAGGTTCAAGTTCCATGTCAACTATTCCTCTACCTCCTGAAACCTGTCATCGTAGCACTGGATATGTGAAACAGTCTGAATTAAAGGCTTCGCTTTAAAACAAGTTAAGAAAGCTTACCTGTTTAACGAAAAGCAACGAGAATATCTGATTGCTAGATTTACCATCAGACAAGAAAGTGGCAAAAAGGTCAACGCAGAAATGGTTGCAACAGAAATGAGAAGAGCAAAGGGATCAAAAGGGGAGCGCTTGTTCAGTGTCTCTGAGTTTTTGACAACTCAACAAGTAGCTTCATTTTTTTCAGAATGGCAGCAAAAGTGAAACTGCAGACAGCCCCCTGCGCACAGGCTGTAACTGGGCAAGATCTGGTTGCTATGGAGGAAGAATTTAATTTGTCAAATGCTAAGGAGTCTATTTTTGAGCAGTTAAATGTAACCTGGGGTTGATCAGAGAAAAAAGACATCTTACATCGCTCTGCTCGAAGACCTTGTTAGATGCGGCTCATGCAGTGCAATTCAAAAGGCAAATGGCAAAAGGCTGCTTCAAAAAATTGAGTTTTATATGAACGTTGATATAAAACGGGGGCCATGGAACATATTTTGGATCGGAAGAGCTATTGTAGTTCCCGCGTAGTGCGAGCTCATTGACACCAACTTATCTATGAGGGTCCTGGGGCCTCCCCTCTGAGGAGAGCCTCCTTTTGTCTGTTTCTTAGTACGCCTTTCTTACAGTGCAGAAAGACTGCTAGATAGGGTGTCCTGAGATATGCTCCACCCTGTAAATTTTGAAATCTAGAGCTTCTGAAATTACCGGAAATGAGCTTCAGTCCTAGGAAGAATTTGACAATTTTTTTTTTATTACAAAGATTAAAATAAATGATAATGATAATAATAAATTGTTCTTAGTGGGGCTACAGCCCACTCAACCTCAAAGCTCCACGCTCCCCGTATTAAAGGAGCAAACCAGAAATGAAGAAATCCCCTTCGAACCGCAGTCAGCCTGGAGTCAAACAGGATCAGGCCGGCGGGATGTTGTTCGATAAAAACTCATAAAAGAATTTACACAAATAATTTAAAACAAGATATATAGGACTGGATGCTTTAGAATGGAGTTTTGACGAAAAAAAGGATCGTGTCCGCTTTATCTTTGATCCAACGTGACAATTGTCACGCAATTGAAACAATTTGCTTTTCGTCAAGACAGTATCAAGATATGAAACAAAAAACACATTGGCTTAAAAAAGAATTAAACGCTATTAAATACTGGTCTTTATTCTTGTACATTTTATGTTGAAGCCATCAAAAGAGCCCTTCCTATACCAGAACCGTCTGGCGGTACGATTTTTACAACTGATTTGCATCATGCAAATTCGTGACCTCTAGCCACAGTGCCTCGCAAAGCTTTATGTTTTGCCAGCACGTTTCTGAATTACCCAAATTTTTTATTACATATTATTTTAGTATAAGGACCAAACATTGTGCCGGCATGTAGCTTGAGATGATGCCACACATACCAAGACACATTTTGAAGGTTTGAAGTTGGTCGATTTTCGCTTTTTGCAACAAGCATTTGACAGCACTTTGTTAAAAATCATGTGAATTTTAAAATTAAACCAAAGCTCCTTAAAATGCCACAAATAAAAGTCAAATTAATTATACTTTGAAGTAAAAACACTCCAGATTTCTTAAGAAACATCCTCCTTCAGTACTAGCACGCTAAAGTTGCTCAATTTTACTGTACTTTTTGCATAATTAATTAGGTAAAGACCTGAATTTTCGTTTTTCCCCATTCCCTCGGACACATTTGATTTTTCAAACTTTGAAATATTTTTTTTGAATACATCTCCCTAAAAGGATTTTCCAGGCAAATTATCAGAATTTTCGATTCTTTTAGCCTGGCCAGCAATTCTTGATATTTACCGTGACGGCCTCTTAAGGAACTTTCAAATCATAAATGAAAGCCTTGTAATAAATTTCATTTTCAATAATATGTTACTTCTGAATGGGTTCAGACAAAAGATAACTATGAATACAGGGGCTTCAATATACAAGGGCTCCAAAATTTGTCATCTGTTATCCGAGATTAACAACATTAAGGTAAGGATCTAACTTCCATTAGTCACAGACTGTGCAGTTTTTGTCATCTACTTCAAACGTCATTGAAACCCTTGGGCCTGTAATTAACCAAGGCCAGGTCAACNNATTAAAGAGTTTATACAAATAATTTAAAACGAGATATATAGGACTGGATGCTTTAGAATGGAGTTTTGACGAAAAAAAGGATCGTGTCCGCTTTACTCTGCAACTTCATCTTTGATCCAACGTGACAATTGTCACGCAATTGAAACAATTTGCTTTTCGTCAAGACAGTATTGAGATATGAAACAAAAAACACATTGGCTTAAAAAAGAATTAAACGCTATAAAATACTGGTCTTTATTCTTGTACATTTTATGTTGAAGCCGTCAAAAGAGCCCTTCCTATACCAGAACTGTTTGGCCGTACGATTTTTACAACTGATTTGCATCATGCAAATTCGTGACCTCTAGCCCCAGTGCCTCGCAAAGCTTTATGTTTTGCCAGCGCGTTTCTGCATTACCCAAATTTTTTATTACATATTATTTTAGTATAAGGACCAAACTTCGTGCCGGCATGTAGCTTGACATGATGCCACACATACCAAGACACGTTTGGAAGGTTTGAAGTTGGTCGATTTTCGCTTTTTGCAACAAGCGTTTGACAGCACTTTGTTAAAAAAATCATGTGAATTTTAAAATTAAACCAAAGCTCCTTAAAATGCCACAAATAAAAGTCAAATTAATTATACTTTGAAGTAAAAACACCCCAGATTTCTTAAGAAACATCCTCCTTCAGTACTAGCACACTAAAGTTGCTCAATTTTACTGTACTTTTTGCATAATTAATTGGGTAAAGACCTGAATTTTCGTTTTCCCCATTCCCTCGGCCACATTTGATTTTTCAAACTTTGAAATATTTTTTTTGAATACATCTCCCTAAAAGGATTTTCCAGGCAAATTATCAGAATTTTCAATTCTTTTAGCCTGGCCAGCAATTCTCGATATTTACCGTCACGGCCTCTTAAGGAACTTTCAAATCATAAATGAAAGCCTCGTAATAAATTTCATTTTCAATAATATGTTACTTCTGAATGGGTTCAGACAAAAGATAACTATGAATACAGGGGCTTCAATATACAAGGGCTCCAAAATTTGTCATCTGTTATCCGAGATTAACAACATTAAGGTAAGGATCTAACTTCCATTAGTCACAGACTGTGCAGTTTTTGTCATCTACTTCAAACGTCATTGAAACCCTTGGGCCTGTAATTAACCAAGGCCAGGTCAACGTTTTGAAATAAACCCAGAAATAAAGAGCCTGGGGAGAATACCTGGAATTACTTTAAACATATCTTGATTATATTACTCACTGGTGATTATCAGAGCAACTGCATTTTCTATCATTTTACCTGTTTCCTCTTTTAAAACATCAAGAACTCGCCCAAAAGCCACTTTGAAAATTAGTTTGAAGATGAGTATAATTATCCCCTTGTGCTGGTGATTATATAGAGATATGACATAATTCTTGACCAATCAGACGGTGCAGATTTCTATTATCACCAGAGCAATTGTACAACTAAAGAATAAGGCAGTGTTCCTACTAGATACAACAAAATTGGCTTGAATGTTCAAAATTACACATTGACTATGGAAACAACAGCCACCTATACATTTCTGGAGGTCCTTCGTTAACTATTCTAAGTTTGAGATATGATCAAACTTAGGCAAGACAAAATGACATTTGTTTTTGGAAAATCCCCTGAACATACCTTCGTATCTTCACAGGCTGCTGAAACCTTTCACTTTCAGTTAGGAAAAACAGGACCTAAAAAGGAAAAATTAGCAGTTTTAACACACTATTGCACAATTAACCTAAAAGAATACTGAGAATAAACAATTAAAGACATCAGTTAGATTAAAGTCAAGATTAAAACAACACAGTATATGCATCTTTTAAATCAGAGAGGTTTCTTCAGACAGTTAACCAAGGCATCAAAGTAAGCTGATCAATGTTGTTTTGTATATATTTTCCATGTCTATTACATCACCTATAAACTTAAGTTCATTTTCTTACTCTTGAACCCAATGATGACAAAAATGTTGTCAAAATGTAGTTCAAATATTACTTAACATTTAGAAATTTAAGAGAGTAGAATTTAAAAATAACCTGATTGGTAAAATGTTTTGTTCTTGACATGAAAGTTGTTTCCTCATCATCATCCTCATCACTTTCTGACTTGCCGTCTTCCTTTCTTGACATGAAGGTTGTTTCCTCCTCATCATCCTCATCACTTTCTGACTTGCTGTCTCTCCCTTCAAACTGATCACCATGATCATCTCCATCATTATTGAGTAAAATCTTTGACTGCAGGCTCTTGATTTTATTTTCACACTGAAGTAAAAGTAAACTTCCCCATTACTTTTAAGCTACCAAAAAGGTATCTTTTCCAGAATTTAAACTCCTTGGTAATTTTCAAGTCTTATTGCTTTCAATTGACTAATTCAAGAACAGAAAAAAAAGGTACAATTTTACTTTACTTGCTGGAGACAAGAAGAAACAGTTTTCAACATATGGCAACAGGCAATTCATGCTGTTGCAGGTACAGATTAGGTAATTCTGTGTACAGTGTGGCAGTGAGTCTGAGCAAATTGTAAAATATTCCTCTGCCCAACCTTCTCGCATCTTCAAGTTACTTTTATCCTGTCATCCTCCATTTTTCTCTCCAGTCAGTAGCCATGTTGATGACTAGTGTTACCTATCTCTTGCACTGACTGGTCACTCCAGGCTACTGAACAATTCAGACACCTATCACCCATTCATGATCTTTACAAAGTTGTTTTATAACAGTGAGGAAGAGTGAGATGGTTTGTTAGATAATGAACTGATCATTATGATTGCACTTAATAACTAATCCTTGTTGTTATAGCTTTACCTCAAGAATGAGGAATCCTTTATCATGAGCAGCAGTAATGCGAGACCACGGCTCACACATTTCTGGGTGGCTGCCAAGTAAGTTATAAAGACTGCAAATGGAGAAAAAGGGCAAATCGTTTAAAAAAAGTTTAACAAAACCAAATTGTAAGTCATCTTGAATTTAGCTGTAGCTTTCTCTGAACACTTATGTTTGTGAACAGTGTCAAGAGGGCTGAAAGGTAACAATGGGAGATTTATCTATCAATTAAATCAACTCTCTTATAAAGAGAGCCTGAGGCCTGAGGCTTCAATACCTAAAACTACAGTTTGGGTAAGATCTCGTGTAAATAACTGGCCCAAAAAGTCTAAACATTTCTAATACAGTGAAGACATATCGCTTTGACCTCCCAATGTCACAATCAAATGTTCATAGGTTGATGGGTATGACTTTATGGAAAACTATACCAATGTTACAATGGCAATCAAGACCTTCCAAAAACTGCTCAAATGTAATCCATAATCCTAGCTTCTTGACAAAGGAATCAGAGATTAATTATGGCAAACTTTTCCTTCAGATGATTGACCTTCTACAGCTACTTTAAGATCTGCACATCACCTTACATTTCTGCTAACAAAGTACCACTAATCGCTATTTTCTGTGAGTGGTACCTGGTGCTTCATGTGAAGGGAAATGGGGAGAGGAGATTGAACATATCCTATGGATACATCTTGTAAATTCCCATATACAACCTTTCCTTTAAATTTTGGCTTAGTTTGTATGTCTCATGCAATATTGATGGACTTTATTGGACTTCACATTTCATTGTGAAGCCCCAATATTTTTTTCTCACATACCTCTTTTCCACAGAGGAAACAGTAAGAGCCCCAATACTGTGGGACAAAATTAAGGCCTGGTGAGGAAAAAAATTAGAGTTTGACACAACTGGGAGAACATTCTGGCAAAAAAGGAGGGGAAGCTTAAGATTATTAGATAAATTTTGAAAGATGTCAATCTCCCCGAAAAACTATTCAATTCCCAGAAACAAGATTTCTGACATCTCTTTTCAGGTCACAGTTATCCATTCCACCATGGACAGCCATTTATGAAAAATTTTGTTGATCCAGACGACTGATAATGTACTGAATCTATGACAAATGTCACCTCCTCTGTCCACCAATTGACATCAATTAATCCAAAGAAAGATGAATCTGATAATAAAAAATAAATAAAATAATGTTATATGAGATTAACCCTTTCACCCTTGAGATTGTGTTCAATAATTCTCCTTTCTGCCTGCAATGCAATTCTTATGATGTTTGTTTGGAGATATATATAGGCCAGTATAAGCCAGAATTTTTTTCAGCCTTTAATTTTCCCTGCTGTATATATTTAATAAGTAGCATTCATTATTGCAGAGATCACTCAAATTCATTTATTAATCTGCAGTTCACAAATATGATATTCATATATTCATAGTCATTTATAATCATAAATACATAGTAATATAACACTCTCTTGTGATATATACCAACGAATATCCCATCTGTTTTCCATTTCCCTTATGGAGGTTCCAAAGTATCCCAGTAAAAGGCATTGCATAACAAGCATGAAATTTGTTCAAATACATTTTAAAATACTTGAAGTACATGTTCACTCTGAAGGATGTGAGTCTGTAAAAGCTCTTCACCTATCATGCTGCCTTAAAGATAACTAACCCTTGTTAGAATCCAATGGTTTTGACACTGGAAAGACAGGATGTTCTTCATGATTCTTGACTGAGGGCTGCCAGAAGAAACATATTGCCTTAACCTTTTACAGCCTAACATTAGTGAGCATATTCTCCATACTGTTCTCTATAAAATTCCCTGAGGTGGTGACGAGGAGAATTTGTTTACCAATCAAGAATTCCTTTGTTTAGCGATCATTTCCTTTTTGCTCATGAACTTAATCTGTGATTCAGGGATGACACTGTTAAGGAAAAATTAGATTCTAGTCACTCACAGGGGTCAAAAGGGTGCTGAACAAACTGAATATAACCAGTATTGTGTACCAGTTAACTGCTTGATAAAATATATTTTAAATTAAGAGGTAGTAACTGTTTAGAAAGTGAATGACCTTTCTTTCATTTCCTTCAAGGGTAAACATTATCATTGATCATAATTTGTATCATGAAAATAAAAAGTTAATCTCTGCTTGAGTTCCACAGCATAAAAAAGGTTTGTTAAGTTTTGCATTGCAAAGTACAACAAAAATAAATTGAAAAAAAAAATTATTAATATTAATATAGGAAAACTTTAAGAGAAGTAGGTTAGGTAGGAACATTGACTAAAAAAGCAAATGAAAATGCCCAGCCAATTTCTTGACAATTTTGTTGTTTTATTGTAATGTTGTGAAAGGTTGATACAGTGAGCTTACAAGCAAAGCTAAATGGCATGAAGCAACTAAAACCATCACTGCTTCTCCCTAAAACTTAAAATCATTCCATCATATAGTTACTTCCCCTATCTCATTAAGATTACCTATGACCTTGTTGTAACCCTTTTCTTCTCCAGGGGAGGGGGGGGAGTACTATAATGACACTTGAGTGTCTTGCCCAAGAATACAAAACAATAATACAGTCAGGGTTCAAATCTACACTTTGTGATTCAGTCCAGTTCACTAGCCACTATTCCATCAGATGCCCTCCAACATTGTTAGGTCATCTATTAAAGTACCTGTTCATCTTTGGTCCACATTCTCTGACATCTGAGTGAAGGTACTTGCCACAAAGACAGAGTTCCTGACAAGTGTAATGCAGCCAGCTTGGTGCCATCTGGAGACAGGGACATGTAAACCACACCATCCTAAACAAGGGAAAGATCAAAATCAAATGAGGAGCTTAGACAGTGCACCTATCAGAATAAGGTATAAGGTATTCAGTGTCGTGTTAAGAGTAAGACCTTGACTGCCATAAACAAAGGAGTCTAGGCAAGATAATACACGAGAGTCCAGTTAAAAACTTTTTTCTGTAATACATATTATACTGTTCAAATCACAACTGAACTGGAATGAATAAAGGAGGTAAGTTTCTAAAGAAACTGTGGTGCTGCATTGGTGGGGGTAACAAGGTGATTTGGTTAAATGAACTATGTTGAAATTGTAAATTGGCCACCGTAATGAAAGAGTTAAAAAGCTGATGTTTTGAACATTAGCCCTTCATCAGAGCAAATGGCAAAGGGCTGATGCTCGAAACATCAGCTTTTAACTCTTTACGATGGCTAATTTACAATTTCAACTTAGTTGATCCAACCAAATTAGCTGGATTGACACATGCAATTGCTGCATACCTACACAAAGTATGTATGCTCTTTAGTAGATGGTGTGTACATGAAACTCACATTTCTGGGGAATTTTTAGGACAAGTTCACACGGAGCAATGGTGTAAATTGCTATTTTGGTGGTGTTTTGGCTGATTACATATTTTCAAGGAGTTTTGTTTCTATCTACAATGAACTCACACATCATAAAAAAAAACAAAAACAAAAACAAAAATACAAAAGGGGTTTCTCACCTGTCTGTCATTTCCTGGATTAAGCAGTGGGAGACTTCTAAGTTTATTTAGTATCCCAGAACCAAACTGAAAATCAAACAAAATATATAAATTAAAGTTAAGAATAAAAAATACTCTAAATCAAAGTTCATTTGATAATAAATATTAGAAGAATAAAACTATGATGTTTCGAAGTAATCTTGACTCCATTATCGAGTAGGGGTGTTATCAAATGTATTTCGAAAGTTCTCTTATTAAAAATCAAAGTTCACCAAATAAGTGAAACTGATAGAGGAAAATAGTTACTTTCATCAAAGCTGTGCCTTCATCTTCAATGAGATTAAAATGGGGAAATCCTGAGAGAATCCTCCAAGTAGTCAAACCATAGAGAGAAGCTGGACAAAGCTCATCTGCAGTAAAAAAAAACAACAAAAACAAAAGAAAATTAGGACAAAATTCACCAAACAAAAATTTGACTAAACACATTGAGTTCTGCTCTAAAAAAGACATTCCTTTTCTAGTTATCTAGTAACTAGGTCACTAAGAAAACATGTTCATCACCTCTACAAGTCAACCCTTAAACCCTAAGAGTGATCAGCATCAAATTTCTCCCTACAGCACGACCACGGAGTCATTCATTAAGATTGTGAGAATAAAGGAAATGATCACCAACCTAAGAAGCTTTGATTGTCAAACCAATTAGCTTTGATGTTACCAAAGGAAATGTATAGAGAAGTACATGAAGAATATTGCTACTGATATTAGGTTATAAGAGGTTCAATGGAATTATTTTTCTTAGAATGTGGAGGGAGTTTCAATTATTTCAATTTCTGTTCACAATTATAGCTTTCAAAAGTGTTTGATACCCACATCCTTTGTCTATGGAGTGTGGAAACACCCACTTCTCAAGGAAAAAATATATAAAACAAACAAGTCTACCACCATGGCCAGAAGTCCAAGCAAGAAACTCTTATTGAAAAACCTGCAATTTTCTTTCCACATCAACAAACCTGCTGAAGCTCTCTGTCCTTGACTTGTTAGACTACCAATTATCAACAGGCTGTGTTTAGGATGGTAAACAACACTGCATACTCCATGAGGAAGAATGTTGGCAAAGGAGAAGCTGTAGTTCTTTTGAAAGCCATTTGTTGCACTGAAAAATAGTGAAAAAAAATACTTAAAAATAACATTAATTTGAAATTTAAATTTTAACTGGGAACCTAGTATATGTCACTCAAAAACCAATGGATTTGATGTTACTTTTGAGGCAGACTTTTTTTCCAGAAAAGCTGGAAAACAGGTAATATTAAGTCTGTGCGGGTTGTTTCAGCTTCTTTGACTCTCAAAACCCTTGCTGCCAATTTCAGGCCTTGACACTAACAGTAGCCAACTAGCTGCAGACTAGTAGAAATTCAGTTTTGGCTAGTGGTTTTCAATTTCCACCAGCCAGTTTGGCTAGTAAACAAACTGAAATTGTTGTGACATCTAAGTTGTCACTAGCCACTTGGCTAGTTAGTTGAAAAGTAAGTGTCGGGCCCTGAATTTCCTGTTTTGTCTTTTTTTCTGAATCATGGAAACAGTTCTATCCTCCATACATGTAATTACAAGACAGATCAGGTAAGATAGCATGTAGGGTCCCAAGCAGGGACCATAAATTGCTGATTTTCAGGGAAGGAAAAGGTACTGTTGGGCCACATTACACTTTCCTTAGAGCAAACCCAACACAATAGCTGCTTTGAAGGCTTGCATAATTATAATCATCTAAGTAATGTATACATGTTAATGTGGTTATGTCTTATCTCAGTGCAAGTGACTTTTTGATAACTTGTCTCAGGTAAATGCATATCCCAAAGAGGTCACAAGAACGTGACATCATTAAGCCCAGTAAATAACAACATTATGAGACCTCTGTAATACCTGACCAGGTAGTTGTTCAGTGTACCGCTGAAATTTATCACCAAGAGCTCTGCAGACCTATGAAGGATGTTTTCACTTGAAGCAAATCAGTAAATCAAAAGTGCTAGGTAAATAAATTTCTTTCTGCTTTGAAACAAGCTATAGAAGTGCTGACCAAGATAGGTTTTGCATTTACTGGTTTTTAATAAGCTTCAAAACGCCGTTGATAACAACTCAAATTTATTTCAATCTATTTCAAAATGGAACATGACAAAATGGAAGTTCAGACATTCTCCTTAAAATTCATCTTTGACAATTAAAAAGAAGCAGTAAACTTATTGTTCCACAATAACTTTTCAAATTTTCTTTTTGTAGTACAGAGTTCCTATCTCTCAAAACAAGAAAAGCTAGAGGGGGCTTATATCACAAGAGGGTGGGGGCATAATTGGATTATTTTATTATTTTTTTTTTTATAGGTAGATGGGCCTAAAGCCAGGGGATTTATTTATTCATTAGCTTTGTCGACAGGCAGGGACTCCACAACAGCTTACACCAATTACTGTGGGCCCAGTACACGGGCCAGACCACATCACAGAAATCTCGTGAGTGGGTTCTCTGACGTCCCCTGCCTAACCAAGTTAACTAATTAATAGATACAGGAAACGGGACCTACAATTTATTCGTCCTTATCCGAGAAGACTAGAATGTCTAATTATCCATTTCTTGATATTATAGGAAAGTAGCACATTCTCCTCAGTTACTTTAAGACCTTGAGTGTTTGTCTGGCCGGGGCTCAAACTCTTCACCTCCCACACAACAGTCCAGCACTCTAACCAACTGAGCTAACCGGAAGAGAAGTTTGCAAATGGAAGTTTACAGTGTGTCAGATCAAATCCCAAAATTCATAATCAACAGCTTACCACTGTGAGCTGTGTTTATGTTCAATAAAAACAAGTCCAGTGATGCTATCACTGAGATCTGAGGGAATGGTCCTAAGGGTCTAGAATAAATAACAAAATATGAAGTCAGTGATTGGATATTGTCTCATAAACAAAATTAATTTAAACTACTGATACACGACTTTGACAAATAAAATTACACAAAAATAAAACAAAACTTTGTGTTGGTTACCTTCGGAATTGTGAAGAGAAGTTCTCCAGCAAGGGCAAAAACAACTATGTCCCCAGAGCTGAACAAAAAAAATTCAATTGTTAATTGTTACCCTAAGTGGACTGAACATAGTGAAATATAGGTTTACGTTTACAATTCTCAAACTAGTGTGATTTTGATTGATTCTGTTTTTTTCATGATCTGAGAAAAAGGTACTAAGGATCACACCAAGGAAATTTTTTTAGCAAGAAGGGAGTGTAGTAGGCTTGTTGCAAGGGGGTGCTCATACAGTTACCAGTTGCCCATACTATAGAATGGTCTAAAGGGGAAAGTTTTGAAAAAAATCTGTGGTGCTGGGTTGGTGGGAGGGTAATTACAAGATAACTTAGTTTTATCAATGGTCTAGTTTTTACTGGGAATTTAAACATTCCACAAAAGGCTAAAAGAACAAGTATGGCTAGAAAAGAGAACTCTGCAAACACAGGGATATACAAACAACAATTATTTCCTTAACGGAAAAGAAACGGCTCCCTCTCTCACTCATGGCATTGATCTGTTGGAAACATAAGGACTATAAAACTGGGAAAAGAAACAATTTCTTAGTTTCTAAATTTTAAGAAAGTAAAGGGAGGGGAGGCATTTATTTATAATTGTTACCCAAGAGGTGGTTACTCATCTGGGAAGGGTGCATCATAGAATGTGGATAATTATTCATTCAAGGAAATAAAATAATTTTTTGTTGATGAGGAAAAAAGTTCACCAGTGCAAAATTATATCCACCTGTAAGAACAAGCTAGCATAGAACAATCTTCACTCCAAGCCAGCTTTCTCCACTGTGGACAGTCGTCTTCCTCGACTAAAAAAATAAATAGATTATAACATTAAGTGCTAAGTTGGCTGCAGCCAGCAGTTAGACAAACCAGTTTCATACATTAATTGTGGCAGTCAGTGAAAAAACCCAGACAGCCCCCTGCTGCACCTGGGATTTTTCATCAATCACTACAATCAGTTAAAAAAAAATCCTCCATATCTGAAATATCGGATATTGGGGGTTTTAATTCTAAGTATTTAACTATGGGAGGGTCCCCTATACCCCTTGTAAAGCTTAGTCACACAACAATATTTGTCCTTTTCATGCATCACAAATAATATCAAAAATTCTTTCACGTTCATGTGAAATTTTAGATGACCATGTTTCACATAAAAACAAAAAAACCAAATTCATGAATTGAATTTTCACTTTTTCTCGTCTTGACCAGTCTTGGGTGACAAAAGATAACTGTATTGTCTCACTGCATTGTCTTATTTGTTCAAGGACTACTAGTGGTCTGTTTTATGACTTTAATGGATCTAGATTAAGTCCCAAGTCAATAAAGTACTAAGCACAGCTGCTCAATAACACTACATACATTTCGAAAACCATTAAAAAGCCAGGAATTCATCACGCAAAACAAAATGGTTTAATTGTGATCAGCTCTCCATTCACAATACATGTTAAAATAAAACAGTAACTCATCAGTAAATCTGACCAGCCTTTTCCAAATCAATAAAAAACTCCACTTTCAACCATGTGTATTGATTGATATGCAGTATTGATTAGAAAAAGCAACACAGGACAGGTCCCATAAAACTTGCTATGTACAGTTATTGTACAGCCACTTCAGCTCAGCAAAAATATTCAACAGGGCTTGACACTAACAAGTAGCCAACTAGCCCCAGACTAGTAGACATTCAGTTTTGGCTGGTGGTTTTTTATTTACACAAACTAGTTTGGCTAGTAAACAAACTGAAATTGTCACTTGGCTAGTAAGTTGAAAAGTTAGTGTCGAGCCCTGCATAACCACAGCTCCTGAATGACAGCTTTGCATATATGGTATACCTACCCGTGCATTTTGCAATAACTGATTCAAAGTCATCTATAAATGATCTGCATAAAATGATACACAGAATATTAGATTAAGTGATTAACTACATTTGGTTGCCCTCCATTAACCTTTTCACTCCCAATATCTCATTAATAATTCTCTTAACTGTCTTCGACACAATTCTTGTGAAGTTAGTTCAGAGAATTTGATATGGATCAACTTCTTTTCAATATAAGATTAGGCCAAGTGTATGTACCCTTTCACTCTCCTAAGTGATTAACTTGTAACTTCTCCCTATAATATCCATACATTATCCAGCAAACAGGTGGTGAGAATACTCAAACTTATCAGGTAGAAGTTGATATCTTGATCTAACACAAAATCCTCATAACTAATTTACAAGAAAAATGTTAAGCAGGCAGAGGGGAGAATTGACAGTCAGATCTTAGAAGATAAGAGTTAATTTTACCACCCTTGCTTTTACATTTCTGTGATTAAATCTACAGGATATTCACGACTGGGAGTTTCATTTATGTGAAGCCAATTGCATTTAGATTTATTCACCTAATTAATATCTCACTTGCCCCAATACTATACAAAAATGAAAAATGAACTAGAAAAGTTACCTAATCTCAATGCAACTTTCTTGAAGTACTGCAAGGAGCTTTCCATCACTAGATAAAATACAAAATTTATTAAGAAAATCATTCAGTAAATCATTAAGGTTGTTGTTCATATTGACTAAAAGCTCAAAGTTCTCTCTGGATTTTATCTTAGTCAAATCTTAGTCAAAATTAATACTAATAAATAAATATAAAGTATTATCCACATTGATAAAATGAAACCAAATTCAATATTTTCAAGAAGAGAATTGATCGACCTAAGAAATTTACCACTATCAACATAGTGAAAATTGTTATGAGCTTGTTTACTTCTTGAAAATTACCTGGATAGAGCAAACTGCCAGTTGAGTGAGCTGCTTATAATTTTGTAGAGCTGTGTTGGAAGCCCCAATATCTGATTACTCCCACTGAAATTAAATTAAGGGTGAATATACAGTTAGCTGTTCACATAATTATAGGACTTAGTAATCATTTTGGACCAAAATGATGTCAAAATAATTTGATTATTTTGTAATTTCCTTTGTTCTAGAATGATATATTAATTTTACAGTCTTTAAACAAACAGGAGTCCAAAGCAAGCCAGCTAAAATCATTTGATCTTCAAATCACTTAAACCACAACATATACAAGTATAATTCCATACACAAATTTTATCAGGTTTAAAAACAACTCACACTTTATTAAGTTTTCAAGTTTTCTATCAAAATTCTCTGAAGTATCAAAATATCCAATGCAAACTCACTTCTCAACCAAAACCAATAATTATACATAATTTGTAATTTACAACCACATAACAACATAAGAATTCTAGTTAGCTTCGAAAGAAAGTTCTACATAAGGTTACACTCAGTTGATAATAAATAAAATTATAATTTCAGAGTGGAAAAGCAAAAATAACTTTGTTGATTTTGATTATCAATTTAGGAGATTTCATGATAATTTTTGAGCAGAATCTACTTATTATAATCAAAATGTTATTTCTGTTACAAACAAAACAAAGTCTTCATTACCTAACAGTGTACTGAATGCCTCTCACCAACCACCAAAAGGAATCTGGAGTAACAATCAAAACAAAATCACTAATCAGTACTTTACTCAAAAGTACCAAGTTATAAAAACACATGTGCAACCAGATTTGACCTAGTGTCAAAAGGCAAACCCTCGGCAGACTGCGCCTGAGTGCACAAGAAATCTAACATTTAAAGTGTATACCAGTGGTCCAACTCATATAAAACAATATTGTTGCAAGTAAAACATCCATACTTTGTGCAACTGTCAAGAATTTCTTGGGTAGTGATCCTCTCAGCTGACCAATATCAAACCCAGTCTTGTTCTGAAAGACAAATGGAAAGATTGCAAACCCCTCATACTTTACAGCAAGGTTCTATTGTCCACACCTAAGAAACCATTTATGTTTTTTCCAGACATAATGAGTTCAAGAATTCTATAATTCAAGTCTACTGCAAGTAAGCCATATCCAAGTTTAGAGACAATAAGATTTTAGAGTGGTTTACCAATATTTGCTGAACTTTTTGTTATATTCAATTTGTTACAAATGATCTAATAAGCTGTACTATTATACATGACACTAATTGAGAAAAATCTGATTGGTTGAGAGCATTCAATAAATTCACAATGGCATGTGAAGTTGACATGATAAATGTAATATCTACAGCAGATATTTGGTTATCATGTCCAGTTCAAAGTCTTCCTAGTTTCCAAGCCCCTCTTCCATGAATTGTTCTCAAACTTTTGTAAACTCAGAGAGAAATGTCTTTTTAGCAGACTGTTTAAAAAATGTGTTATAAAAGCAATTAATGAATTGTTTCTGTGCACGATATCATAAATTGTCAAACCTTGTCTGTGTTACCTGCCTCAGCCTTTGGCTTTGGCAGATAACTCACAACTTGGTTTTGATAATTCACGATATCCTCAACATCACACAAATAGCTACTTAGGATCTGTTGGAGGACAGATGCATAGTTGATGTCAGTATTAATTCCATGTATGAAAGTGATTGTGGAGGCGCGGTGGCCTCGTGGGTCCCGGCCGGGACATTGTGTTGTGTTCTTAGGCAAGACACTTTACTCTCACAGTGCCTCTCTTCACCCAGGTGTATAATGGGTACCGACAATTTAATACTGGGGGTAACCCTGCGATGGACTGGCATCCCATCCAGGGGGGAGTAGAAATACTCCTAGTCGCTTCGTGCTACAGAAACCAGAGTTAAGCACCGGCTTAATGGGCCACTAGGCTCGTAAACAGACTTTGCTTGCGAAAGTGATCGATCCTCACAATAATGAACCCTACTTATGTTGTAGTGGAAATAAGGCCAAAAAAAGAGACTTTCAGGCCTGTACGTGATTTGAACCCATGACCTTTGCAATACCAGTGCAGTGCTCTACCAAATGAGGTAACAAGCCAAGTGGGAGCCATGTTGGTTCGTATTAAACCCTGAGAAGTGATAAATCAATGAATTTGAATATATACAAGTCATATACATGTGTACTGTGGTTTCATGAGGGGGGCTTTAGGATTTTCGGTTTTGTGGTTTTGAATGTTTTTTGAATTGGTTTTTCAGTTTTTTGGCCAAAAAGGTTCGGTTTTTCAGTTTTAATGTTTAGAGTGGTTTGCGGATTTTACATGTTTTTGCATTTGGTTTTCAGTTTTCACAAAGACTGATGCGGTTTTCCGTTTTTCCTTTTTGACCCCTTCAAAGGTGAAAATGTAGCAGTTTTGTCAGGTTTGCATGCGGTTTTCAGTTTTGCTGCCTTTTTTGTTGGTTTTTCGGTTTTGGAGGTTTTTTTCTCTGGTTTTGCAGTTTCCCGGAGGTCCCAATGCCCCCCCTCTTTCATGAACCAACACAATGACCGCTACCTCATAAGTGGGGTTGATTACCACGAGGATCACTTTCATACATTTCATAAAACAGCAGTACATATGTCCGACTTTCATATATTCAAATTCATTCAAATAGATTCCATGTTGCTGTGGTTTCGTACAGTAACAGATCACAGAAGAATATAGTCAGAACATTAGTCACGCACTTGACTGCAACTTGTGTGCTATTTTTTTTGTCTAACCACATTTTGATGACATCTGTGATTTCTTACTGAAAAGGAAATGTAACATAGAATCTATTTGTTAATAAACCCATTCCAAAATAGTGGCTTAAAATTACATCCCTTTTGCACTTAAAAACCTACACGGTCAGCTGTCTAAAAAGAGATCTGGGGTGCAAGGAAGGACTCTACAGAGCACTGCAAAACTTGGTGATATATTGTGCATGCAAAGCCTTTCCCAGCTACATGGAAAGCTAGCTAATAAAATCAGATGACAGGAACTCATCTGTCCACGGTTGCAGTACTTTACCTCAGTTTTACAGCTGCGCCATGCTACAAGTCTAAAATGCATTTTGAGCTCTAACACGAATATCAAATTGGCTATATACACTTCACTTTAATCTGACAGCAGATATGTTAATTGATAAAAATTTACTTGGAGAACTACTAAACAGCTAATCATGAAGATGTGACCACATTCCAAAACAGCAGCCACGATAATTTTTTGTTTTGATTTCATTAACTCATGTCTGAATCGAAACAGAAACTTGGTCAAAAAATTTTCAGTAGCCCCATGGAAATAAACCAATAAATATAAGAGAATTAAGATGTATGACATACATCTTCGAGGTCTTAGGTATACCTAGTTAAAATTTTATAACATCGTGAGCTTGCGACCTGGCTACTATGCCACGTAATCTTAACTGGACTTGCCACAACTCAAGCAAAGACACGAGTCTTTCAGAACAGAAATAAAAATCCTCTAGAAATTCAAAAGCTATAAAAATAAAAATAATAAAATAAAAACTAACCAAATTTTCTGCTCCAAGGGACCATTCAGCCCGAATAAAGACATCGTACAGAATATGGTCATTTGTGGCCCCAGCAGCCATGTTTAATAAAGTTCTCCGTGAGGAGTATGGTAACTAAATCTTAATTGGCTATGATAAGTCACGTGGGATGCTGCCACAAAAACCGCCATCTTTGAAATCAAAAACAAAACTGTAGTCCCTTTGAATGTCCTTGAGTGACGTTGCGATTGGAGGTCAATTATACTTCAAGCAAATTTGAAATAACTTCCAATATTATCTTGTATATAGCTACTGCACTGTTTAAGAGTGAAGCTATCAATGGCGACAGAAGCAATTTTCAGGCCGCATGTCGATCAAGAAAATCCAAACCCTCTGAACTTCAAAGGAGGAAATGCGTCAGGTACATGTTCCACAACTTCTACGTCTAAAATTTGACTGTCGAAGTTTGATTTTCCTTTCGTATGTGGAAAATTATTGGGCGAAACATTTCACGAAAAAAGACTGTTTAAATGTACAAGTGACCGCTATTAGGCGAAACTCAAACTCGAGTAAAACCTTTGTGAACTTTCTTGCCTTTAATTTTACATTTACATGTTATTAGGTCGGTAAAATCATCAACATATAACACCAACCGTAAAAATAAAGCAAATAAAGAAAGAAAGAAAATAAGTAAATGAATAAAATACAATTATTTCGATGTTGAAAATAAAAATTAAATTACGAAAAATATCTAAGCTATATACAACTATCATTCAAGAAGGCTGATAACCTATGTTTAAAAGTTTCTAAGGAAGTTGACGAAACAATGGTCTCAGGGAGGCAGTTCCAGTCTTTTATAGCTCTTGGGAAGAAGGAAAATTTGAAAACGTCTTTACTCGCATATGGCACGCGAAATTTAAATTGATGGCTTCCCCATTACCCATTTTGTTTACATTACTTACTACTTTAACCCTATACACCCTAATATCAGCATGCATATTCTCCATACTATTCTCCCTGCATCACAGGTGCTGAAATTGAGAATTTTTTGAACAAACGAGAGCAGGTTTTTTAGTTTGTGATCATTTCTTTTCTTCTCGTGACCTTTATTTGTTATCCAGGGGTGATATTGTAAGGAGAAATTAGATGATAGTCACTCTTAGAGGTTTAAAGGTTAATAAAAATTCTGTTATACTTTACTGCCAGAAATAGTCACCCATTTAGATTGAAACAATGGAAATTATATATCCTGATGTTGCAATTACTTTACCACACAGGGAGAAAATTTGGAGCTACAAAATCCTTTAAGTCCAGCAACGTTCCCATAACAACTCCACGACGTGCTCTGGGAGATGTAGGAAACACCCTTAGGCCAGCTGCTACAAATTCAAGAAAAGGACTTGCTTTAAAACCAAACAAGCTCCTTGGAAAGACACCTACGACAAAGATTTTTCAAGATCATACTCGGACGCCATCAGCCAAAGGAAAACTGCTCTTGAAACAAATTAGCTCTGCTGAGATAAAACAAAGTAGGAAACAGAAAAAGGCATCTCAAACAAAGACAGCAGTGAAACCAAAAGCTAAAGAGGAGCAAGACCTAAGTGAAAGAGAAGTGATGTATCCATTTACTGACACAGGTATAGTCAATGTTCTTTACTCTATTTCCTCAGAAAAGGAGGTGCACTTATTGGAGGGAGGCTGATTGATCAAGGGAGGGTGCTTATTGAGTTTTCCTAATGAGGAACTATAACTCTATTTTGGCAAAATCTATATACAAAAAAACAAAAATTACATGTACAACATTATCCATGCAAGTTTAAAGTCAATATAGAGATATTTATAAATGATTGGAAACAACTTTACAGATAATAAACTTTTCTCCTGTGCTGATCCCAGTTAAGTTGAAATTAGTTTTCTTTGTATCCCAACTCATTTATGAAAGTGAAGAAGGAAGGGGGAGAAGGACTTAGCTCAATTGGGAGAGTGCCGGACTGTTGATCGGGAGGTCGAGAGTTCAATACCGGCCAGACCAACACTCAGGGTCTTAAAATTAATTGAGAAGAATATGCTTCCTTTCTTTAACATCAAGAAATGGGTTAGATATTCTAGTCTTCTCGGATAGGGATGAATAAATGGAGGTCCCGTCTCCTGCAGGGTTGGGGTAGGAGACATTAATTTCCCATGCACGAGATTACTGTGTGATGGATGTCCTCCCTGGGGTGGGTTGGGTGGGTAGGTGAAATCGCTACGGACT